TATATATATATATATATATATAGTTGTTGTTGTGTACCGTGGACTTGGAGCTGATCCATAACTGACCCTCCAGTGGGTTTCAGATGCAGTAAATCTTAAGAGAGGAGATTTCTCATTTTTCTCCTGCCAAGCAGCTCACTCTGGTGGCTAAGTGGTAAGGAATTGCGCTGCCAACTCAACTACATGCAATTCAAATCCACCAACTGCTTTATAGACAAAGATGGACAATCTCCTCCCCTGTGATTTACTGCCTCTGAAAACCTATTGAAGGGTCTATTACGTGTCATTTCCAACTCCAGTGTATAACAATATATTCACATAAAGAGAGAGACAGAGAGAAAAACATGGAGATGGAGATGGAGAAAGAAACCTATAGAATCTTGCCAAAGATAGATGAATGTTCCAAAAATAAGATGAACATGTGCTTGCTTACTTACTAAGCTGTGGTGATCACATGTAAGATTAGTATCATAAACAAACAAGAAACCACCAAAACTGTACACTTAACATTCTTCTTGGGTAATCTGTTCCTGGATAGATGTCACTAAGCAACCTGAACTTCAGAAAGTTCAAGGATCTCATCCAGCTTAGAGAATAGTCTGAAATTACTTCCCTCTGGTAGTGCAAGACAGAGTCTGTTGTTTAACATATGATTATGGAACAAAAACAAGAGCAGCAAGGAACATTTGGTCTCTGACAAGCCATCCTGCATGGCTGTGATACAGCCAGAAGCCCCTAATGGGCTTTTCCAGGATAACCTTGCCTTGCTCCCTCCATACCTTTCCCCTTATGAAATATTGTCTCCACCTGCACCATTTTCATGGTTATTGACGTACTGGAGTTCATATTTTAGCCACTGTGTATTTGAAGTGTATTTCAACCTAAAGAAGATGAGTTAAGGCTCATATTTCAAAACTCTGAAGAGAGAGAGAGAGAGTGTGTGTGTGTGTGTGTGTGAGAGAGAGAGAGAAAGAGAGAGAGAGAGAGAGAGAGAGATCCATAGGATTTTCATTGTCTCCTTTTCAGAAGGATGGTTCCAGGGCTTTGTTCCTAGTCTTGCTTAATTTAAGACTTCTGTTGAAACCTGTCCGCCACAGGATATCCAATGAAACAGCTTCTGGTATCTCAGCAACACATAAGGCATCACAGCATGACAAACTGACTGACTTATTTACTGAATGGAAGGCTGGCATTTCAACTATCAGAGTCCTGTCCCTAATTCAAAGGCCATCCATCCATAAGGCCAACTCTCTTCTCTGAGATACTGTCACTCTTTCTCATGGGCTGACCTGACTCCTGACTTTCTGTACTTCTGTCACAGCACTGGTCAGTGCTTTCAAAGTGTTAGGATGTACATATAAGTCTGTTTCCCCAATAGAGAGTCAGCTTCTTGAGGCAGGGACCAGTCTTATCACTCTTTGCACTCTTTCCCTCTAGCATCCTGGGCAAGAACTGAGTCTGACACATAGTTTATGCTACTAAATATGTGCTGGTTGAGTTACTGAGTCATATTTGAGAGAATCACTCCACTCCAGGTTACCACAAGGGACCAAAAGATAAAACAGGAGCATCATGAGCTCATTGAGTTAAGTCCACTATGAAAAACCATCATCAGTGTCCAGAATGTTTCAGAGCATATTTATCAGAAAGCTCTGCAAGGGCATAAGGAGAACAGAGTATATAAATAGGAGCATTTTTTTATTTTCATTTTATCAACAGATAACATCTCTGTCTTTTTTAATTGAGTTCAACTAAAGTTACACTATACACAGAACAGTAGTATCTTCTCAGCTCACAATGAAGGTGATGGGTCTGTGATTAAAAAGCAGAGGGGAAATATGTCTGGATTTTAAAAGAGAGGAGCCAACAGCCAGAGAAAGGCTAGCTTGATGAGGCAGGCAAGCCTCTGCCAGACCTTGAGGCTCCAATGAATGTTGAGACCTTAGTGAGTGCAGATTCGGTGGGAAATGTTGTCAGGACCAGGTGAAAAGGGCTGACTCTCTGATCATCCCTGCCAGAGCCATTGCTGGAATTGTGAGTTATTACCTGAACCTTCCTGAGCCGGCGGGTGCAAGGAGACAGCTGATCCTGACTCCGCACTCTCACGGGGAAAGGAAGAAGGGACAGCCTCACTTGTGTGCAGGTCACCCCAAATGCATATCTTCCAAACAGCGTCTAGGGTACAAGTGCAGGCTGGATGTGGAGACTGGCTGGTGACCTGGCACGTGTTTGCTAACGAGAAAGCAAGCCATGCCTTTCAGAGGTGGGGAGGCTTGATCTGCATAGATGAATGGTGAACCAGAAGCCTGTCCCACCCAACCTTCACAATTGTCTCTCCAGTTGGCTTCTGCCCCCATGAGCTGCTTTTCCACAAGTTCCTCCACACTAATCAGACTGGCTGGCATTGAAGTCTGTTCACAAGACTCAACATCATCCTCTGCTCTTGGTGGGGGGGGGGGGGTATGTGTGTGTGTTTGAGTGTGGAGCGAATGTTCCTCCCCTCTCAGGGGTCCACACACCAGCAATTCTTCTCTCTGCAGGTTCCTGTGGCCCTCAAGTGTGTTACATGGGACAGACAAAGGCACACCATAACTCTACTGAGGCATGTGTTTTGGGAGCCCCCTATGTCCAAATGGAGGTGGGGGGCATCCATTCAATTTCTATCAACAATCTTCATTATCCAAATGACATGACTTTTGCTTGTTATAAGTGAGGACTTAAAACGCTGCTGCAGAGGATCAAAGACTACAGCCTTCAATATAGATTACATCTCAGTATCAGGAAAAGAAAACTTCTCACCACCAGGCCTATAGACATCATCATGATAGATGGAGAAGAGATAGAAATTGTCAATGACTTCATCTTGCTTGGATCCACAGTCAACACCCTTTGCACTAACAGCCAAGAAATCCAAAGAAGTCTTGCAATGGGAAAGTCTACTGTCAGGGACCTCTCCAAAGTGCTGGAGAGCAATGATGTTAGTTTGAAAACTAGGATGTGCCTGAGTCAAGCCATGATCTTTTCAATCATTTATATGCATCTGAGAGATGAACAATGAATAAGGATGACAGAAGAAGAACTGCTGCCTTTGAGCTGTGGTGTTGGGGAAGAGTGTTGAATATCCCATAGACTATCAAAAGAACAGACAGACCTGTTGTGGCAAAGGAGTGGCCAGAGAGCTCCTTGGAGTTAAGGATGGTGAAAGCTTGTCTCACATATTTTGGGCATGTTGTCAGGAGGGGTCATAATGTTTGGGAAGGCAGAAGTCAATGAAAGAAGGGGAAAATTCAACAAGATTAATTGACACAGTGACTGTGATGGTGGGCTCGAGGCATCAGAAATGGTGAGGATGGCACAGGATAGGGCAGGGTTCAGAGAGACACTATGAATTGTAGTCAACTCAATGACACTTAACAACAACTGCCTGCCAGGCACTGTTCTGGGCTCTGGGGCAGGGGCAGAAAAGAAGTTCTTTACATTCCCTAATTATCAGGGACAGGAGTGACAGACAATTACCTCTATGAATGCAAGAAAGAGCAGTGACAGGGATGAGAGGAAATGCTGCAGACACCTCTCCTGGGATTCCAGTGTGAAGCCTGGATTCAAGGAGCAAATAGGCCCTTCTGAGATGGTACACTTCAGGGGTCATGAGGAAGATTGACTAATGGCAGTATCTGTTGGTGCTGGCTGCTGTGAAGTTGGCCTCAACGGCATGGCAGCCCCAAACACAGTGCGAGAAAATGTTCCCAGTCCTGACTCTTGTTTTTATACGAGCGTAGTCTCACAGCCATGTGTGAGAATTTCTGAAACCACTGTGCCTTGGTTGACTTTCTGCTTGGGAGTCTAAGAGTATTGCTTTGAGAACACTCAGTGAAAAGTTAGTTAAAAACTCCTCCCTGGACAAGCACAAAGACAAGTCCCCCCCCCAAAAAAAAAAGAACCAGGGTGCTTTTGTGAGACCTCCTAAGATCCAGAGAACATCTGCGAAGGCTTAACTAATGAGAAACGAAAGTCCTTAAGAACTTGTGAAAAAATACAAACTTACCAGAAGCTACTGTCTTTGAGGATTCACAGTAAATAGAGATAATCTTTTTGTGTTTGTTTTAGGACCATCTGAGCAAATCATTAAAAGACCTGCTTCCTGGATATCCAAGGACACATTCCTTTCTAGTCCCAGAGATAATTGCTAAATTTATTACTTTAGGGTCTTTGAGATAAATTGTTTGTTGTGTAGCAAGAAGTCTGACTTTTCTAAACCTGGAGAAAAGATGAAAGTCACGCATACAAGTGTCAAGGACTTTCGTTCATGGGGTCACTATGAGTCACCTACAACTCAATGGCACTTAACAACACAGAGAAAGATCAGTTGGCCTAGTGGATCGAAAGTGACACTAACAAGACAAAGGTGGATGACTGTAATCCGCAGCCCTAAGGCCTGTTTTAAATTGTTGTTGGTCAAACCTTCTAGGTCGTATAGCCCTGGTGCGTCCACTTGCCATACAGAGGTAACTTGTGGTCTCTGTGAAGCTGAACACACTGATGTGTCAAATGCGATAATGGTTACCCATGGTGGACAGTGTTTGGTGGTGCTGCCTGGTTAAAACAAGCTTGGAAGAAGGAGTGGCATCCACTTCCGAAACAGCTTGCCTCCAGAAACCCTATGAACCTGGAGAAAGAATGAAAGTCATGCACGCAAATGTGAAGGACTTTATTTCATAGAGAATGCTTGTATTCTCTATATTCTGAGAGAAACAAAGCTCAGGGTCTTGTCTTTTTTACCTGCCTCCCTGTGCCTCGCTTTGTCTCTCTTTGTCTATTCGCATGCTTTTTCTTCACCAGTGTGGTGTCTTCAGGCCCTGCTGGTAAATGGCAACAGTCGTGGTCCACAACACTCTGCCTCATGCTGTGATCTGTGCAGATTTACCCCCTTGTTGTCCACAACACCCTATATCATGCTGTGATCTGAGCAGAGTCATCCCATTGTGGTCCACAACACTGTCTCATGCTGTGATGTGTACAGAGTCACCCCATCGTGGTCCACAACAGCCTGCATCATGCTGGGATCTGAGCAGAGTCATCTTGTCGTGGTCCACAATACCCTGCATCATGCTGGGATCCATGCAGTCGCCCTGTTGTGGTCCAAAATGGCCTGCCTCCTGCTGCTGTCTGAGCAGAGTCTCCTCGATGTGGTCCACAACACTCTGTGTCATGCTGCTATCTGAGCAGAGTTGTCCCATTGTGTCCACAACATCCTGTGGGACACCACAGAGTATTCACTGACTGGTTTCAGAAGCAAATCATTGGGCCTTTCTTCCTAATATTTTTTTAGTCTTTAAACTCCACTGAAACTTGTTTAGCATGATAGCAATACAGACCACTGGCAGACAGGTGGCAGCTGTGTATGAGGTCCCCTCACTGGGAACTGAACCTTATGGAAGGTGAGAACCCTTCCACTGGACTATCAGCATCCCAAATAGCACCTAACCCCGCTGTAATCTAGGGGGACAGAGTGCAAACTACAGTGTTTTAAGAGGAGAACCAGGCAGTGTTGGCCCTTTAACGTGCCTCACAGTCTGTCTTGGCTAAGCGTTCCCAAGACTGTCCTTCTCTGGAGACCTAGATGCCCAAAGTAAATGACATTTTGTCATATATTATAATTTGTTGGCTACCAGACCACCCCTAAATAAGAGGAAGGCTATAGGCCTTAAATATAGAAGTACCTCTTGCTACTTGTTTATAAAATAACATTTTTTATGCTACCAAGTGCACAATATGTGAAATGTGACAGAGAACCAGTTTTGGCTATAGTGTAAATACAGGAGGGGTTAGTATCCTGGTAACAGGCCAGCTCAGTGAGCATTAGAGCAATTCCAGGCAGCCCACAAAGTTTGGGGAGGACCTTCATGGTAGGAAAGGTGGCCAGACACATTTGCTGATGCTGCTGGGCAAGGCAGAGCCCTTCCTTCCAGGTGCACAGACCACTATCTTCTCCACCATCAAGGGAGCTGATTCAATGTGATCCCAGAAGTCCTCCATGAGAGATGAGAATCCCAATTCCTCTCCTACAGAGGAGATTTCACTGAGAGGAAACACAACCTGAGTCCCTCTTCAAGAGGAGAACCTCTGCCCTCTGCAAGAGAGGAGACCACCCCAAGCTCTCCTCTAGAGATCACCCAGCCCCTTCCAAATTGGGCCAATCATCCAGTCCCTAGCTGACAGGAGACTCACACAGCCCCTTCCCAAGAAAAAAGACCCCCTCAGTCATTCCCAGAAAAGAGTGATGCCCCAGTCCCTTCCTATGAAGATACCCTTCCCACCAGCCCCACCTGAGAGGTTATTTTCCCTCCCTCATCTCCACTGCATCTTGGGGAAACAAATTAAGGAAGGCCACATTTAAACTGACTATGTTTTGCCACACAGATGATACTGTTCTCCTAACTAGAGCTCTTCATCGTTTGGGTACACTACGGGAGTAAAAAAAAAAAAAATCTCTAATCA